ATGTTATAATAAATTATGCGGAAAGGAAAGTATTTGCTGAAACTCAGCAGCTGCCATACCTCGTAATAAACAGGATGTCAGCAGATAGATGCTCAAACACATTGTTAGGGAGATACAAAGTACAGTAATGAGGCTTCAACATTGCTTCCATCAGACTGACAAGAGGCCCAGAATGGGGCACTCATGTGTGGTTGGGGCCTGTCACATCCCCAGCAGCTGTCTGGAAACGTGATGCTGGATATGCCCTCTAACTACCAACCTCTCCCGAGAATGTAAGGCACAGAGAAAAAGCTGGTATATACACACACAGAAAGTTTGTGGTGGTGGTAAGCTCGCTCAGTAGGTAAAGGCACTTACCACCAGACCCCAAGACATGAGTTTGATCCCTGGGACCCACATGGTGGAAGGAGAGAATTGACTCCTGTCAGTTCTCCACATCTGCACTGTGGTATATATGCACACCCATGCACTTGTGTGCACATGCGTATGCACACACTCAAAAAATGAATACAATGTAAAATTTTTCAAAAATGTTTGCCATAGGCTGATGTATTTGAACACTTAGTCCACAGTTGGTGGTGCTGTTTGGGAAGTGTGTCACTGGGAGTGGGCTTTGGGGTTTATAACCTTGCCCCTCTTCCTGTCCTCCCTCTCTGCTTCCTGTGTGTAGCTGAAAATGTGACCAGCCAGCTTCCTGTGCCCATTGCCGGCCTATTGTCCTGTCCTCCGCACCATTATGGACTTGATCCCTCTGAACTGTTAGCCAAAATAAACCCTTGCTTCCTTAAATTGCTTTTGGTCACAGTGACAGTAAAATAATTGATATAGATGTTAACTGCAGTGTTGCTTAATGTATAACTTGCCATTATAGTTAAAACCTATTCAGAGAAATAAGCAAGAATTCCCCCCGGCCCCCCTTTGGTATTTTGGTTACCATTTATTTGTGAAGTTAAAAATGAGAGATAAAACTATCATACAGGGTTTTTTTTTGTTGTTGTTGTTGTTTACAGTTTATCTCACCCTCAACAGACAGACATCGTACCAGGCTAGTCCTGGGGTCGAGGTGGGTGTGGGAGTAGGAGATGAGTAAGGTGGAGAGGGAGAGAGAAATCGGGGGGGGGGGAGCAGGGCTTGAGGCACCCACGCCTGGTCCAAGTAATGTTCAAACTCTAAAAACTGAAAAAGAAATAGTAAGAGTGATTTTTTTTCTTTTAAAAAGTTTATTTCAAAAACAAGAAGAGGCCCCTGGGATGGGGGGACAAATCACTGTCCCTGGGAGGGGGCTCACGGAGGCGGGGATACATTTATATATTCTCTGTGCATCACTTTATAGCTTTTCTGATAAGCAAGAATTCTAATTGCAGCAGATTGCAAACACACCATCTCCCATGGCAATGAAGATGACATACCTTCTAAGTCATGTGTAAGAAGCTCAAGATTTGTGCTGTGGCAGTCTTCGGGAGATACTGGGCAGGGCTTGCTGGCTTCTACCTGTAAATTCCAGCACTTAAGAGGCTGAGGCAAGAGGATCACCTTGAGTTCAAGGCTAGCCTGGGCTATAGGAAGACTTTGTTTCAAAGAAAACAAAAGTTCACCTTTATCTGTTCATATCAACTGATCATCTCTGTCTGCAAATTAGCTTTGGATCAGGTGCCTAGGGATAAGTAGTTTTACTCAATAAATAAAATTTTTAAAAAATGTGTTGGGGATCTAGCTCATTTGGTAGTTTACCTAGCATGCATGGGTTCGATTTCCAGCACTGCATAAACTGGGTATACCTGTAGTGTACATGAGGCCAACCTGGGCTACATGAGACTCTGTCTCCAAACAAATAAACACAAAGCAAAAGAAAAACATATTTAGGGCTTATTAAAAGAATGCTTGGCATACTTGTATTTTGGAATTTCCATCACTGTGAAACATGAAGATCATGGTCCCTCCCTCTTTCAGTCCTCAAAGCTCTTTAGGTATTGTCTACAGGCTAGGAGTGCCTGTGCACCTTGGACCCTGCACACTTGGCTAGGAGGCTGACCCTGAACGTTTCTGATAGGTGGGCCAGGACACATCTGTAAGCATGGTCAAGAGGGCTCCAGGTGCACAGGTGCTGAGCAGGCAGTCAGAAGTTTGCTCAGGGGCAGGAACATACTGCCAGTGGGCCGGGCCCCTCATGCTGCCTGGCACATGCTGTGCTCCCCTGGCCTGCACTCTACTATCCTTCGGGGTACTCCATGTAGCTGTCTGTGCCTCCATCACTGCCTGCCCTGTCTTTAGAATTGGCCGGTGTCTTTGAGCAAACACCAGTCAGATGTCCACCCATGTTCCTGGCCAGCTCGTGCACCCTCGCTCATGGACGGCCACCTTTCCCTTTTTGATCTCACTCTTTCGCCCAGGTGTGGGCCACTGCCCCGGCCACCCGTCCCTCTGGAGGGGCCAGGTATTGGCCTCCTTCCACACATGCCCAAATTCCACAGGGATGTCAGTATTTGGTTACTATCTCCAGTTCTCTCAATCTTCTCCTCCCCACCGAGCTTTCTGGCCCAGCACTCCACCAAAAGTGCTCTGAGCAAGGACTTGGAGGCCCTGATACTGCTGAATCCACCATGAATGTGCTCCTCCTGGTGTAACAGCACAGCTCTGAAACCTACGTGGCCCTGGACCAGAGCCTAGGATCCATACCGTCGTGGGTCATGCGGGCGTCTGCACAGGCCTGCCTTGCTTTCTCTTTATTTGCCTGAACTCTAAATGACAGCCCAGAAGGTCCCGCCCACCGGAGGGCGGGGCCATCTTGCTCACTCCAGGTGTGGGGCGCTCTAGTGTGCGCGTTCCTGGACAGAGGGCAGATGGATGCCCTTGACTGTCAGGACTGGACTTTGATGTCTGTTGCTGAGGATGATTCTAGAACTTGGACAAGAGACAAACAGAAGAAAACAAATTGGTATAGGAAGTAAACAACACATTTTATTCCACAGGAAGAAGGGTGGAGACTCAGGGGTGACGGCCTGCTGTGCAGCTAACAGCCCACACAGTGAAGAGCCAGGTACTTTCAGTACTCCAAGCAGCAAGGCTGATGAGGAACCATATTTGAGGCAGTATGGAAATCGGTGGAAACTGTCTTAGCAAAGTCTCAGACACCACTGGCTAAGTATCAACTTCAGAAGAAACAGGACTTTTCAGTTGCTGTGGCAAGGCTGGTTTCTTCCAGAACTTTGGACTCTGTCCTGACAAACCAGGATGTAATGGTGAGCGCCTCTGGAATCTTCCCCTGGCCTGGCAGGAGGGCTACAGGGCAAGGAGAGCTGGGAACTCGCTTCTGGTCTCCCTTTGTCCCTCGAGCCCCACCCCATCTGGTCTCTGAACCCCTTTCTAATGCCTGCTCCTTCTAAGGCATAAATATCCTCTGATATTTACAGAGGGAGGGGCCGTGCCACCACAGGGGATGGACAGCTATTTAAGGAGCTGATTAAATTAGGAAGGAGCCAGGAGGAGGACTTCTGACCCTCCCTGGGCTCTGAAGCACCAGGTCTAGATGCCCTCAGCTCCTTCCTGCAGCCAGAGACAAGGACCCCAGTGCTGTGGGGTGGAGGCAGGCAGACTTCCCTAGTAACACTAGCTCCTTCATTCCGCTAGGGTGTTTCAAGTGCCTGTCCCAGCAAGTGGCAGAGGACTCTGACACATAGTGAATACTTCTGAAAGCCTCTTCTGTAAGATCTCAGGCAGTAGGTTAATGATGACAAGACCTCAGGCCAAATATTTGGGGGTTCAGGGACCCAGGCTGTCGAGGAAGGCCTGAGGAGCTACCTTCCCCCTCTGCTTCAAACCAGCAACCGAAGCCCCAACCCTACAAAAGTCGAGTTCAATCTACTAGCATTCCAGGGAGTCCAGGGAAGGCAGATCCTTGAAAATACTATTAGCTAAAGCACTCCGGAGGAACTTCCCCCCTTGTACCTCAGCGCCCTTGTGCACACGAACACCCACACATGGGCTTAGGGATCGGGGTGGAGATGGGGAGAGACAGATGAGCTTCATTTGTGTCTTGGAAGGATTTGAGTTAGAAACACCAAAACCTTCCACACATCCCCTGAGTCACCCTGGATCTTGGCTACATGTGACAAGATTGTAGAAGCTGGCTAGCTTCATTAAAGTAAAAAAATTAAAACCATTAGGTGAAACATTTATTCTAGAGTGTGGAGAGGCCTACCCTCTGCCTCCTATCTGCATATCCCTTCGAAAATGAGGTCTGGAAGCAGCTGGCACCTATACCAGGTTAGAACCATGGACCAGACATGCTTTGGCCAAATCCTGGTTCCTCCAGAAGCTCCCAGGCACAGCCTTTTAATGCATCTCACGACCTTTTCTGAAATTCTCTGTCTCCTGGTCCTGTGTCACTAGTGCTGTGTTCCGCAGGGCCATGATGCCGTGACGTCAGCACGTGAGTTTTTCAACACAGTGGGAAGCACCTCTCCCACAGCTCAGCACCCAGGAAGGAGAGACAGCATTCCTACAATGAAGGGCTCAGTGGGATTCCTTTTTCATTTATGCCAACACTCAGCGTTTCAAATTTCTCTACCACAATAGCACAGAATGCCTGCAGGGCTGCTGTGTGCGCACGCATTTGGCAATGGAGAATTTTAAACCCAAGTTGAGTACGTAGAGTTGTTGAAGAAAGCCAAATGGAAGCAATTAGAGAATCACCTGTGAAATTTAAACACGGCCTGTGACACAGGGTGAGAAGGAAGGTGGGCGCACGCTGGTCTCGAGTCTCTTCGATGGTGGCTTTGTGTCCGCTCCCTTCCATCTAGGTAGCCAGTGACTGCCCAGGAACACTTAGATCTCTCCTTGGCCCACTGACTGCATTTGCAAAGCTCAGACACGGCACCCTTCAGCTTTCTACTCTCTCTGCAGAGAACCCTGGAGGAGGCATGTGGCCTTGGGGCAGCAGAAGATTCAATACCACTGTACATCACCGTACACGTAACAAACCTTCACACAGAACAGCCCTGCTCAGAAGCATCTATATATTTACAAACACACAGTTGTACATATATACATGTTAACAAAATACAGGACAATCTAAAGATTAGATCCATCTCAATACATGTGTTACGTTATTCAATCAATACTTTAAAAAATTATCTCCCCACAATCTAAACTAACTCCAGCCCCACAAGTCAACGTTTCCGTTTACATTTTTCCCTGTGAGGATTTCCTTTCCCTCATTTCTTACTATCTTCCCCCAAACCCTCTTCTGGCTTCCCTTCTAACACAAGCCGAGTCTGGGTATCTGTCCTCTGCGTTGGGCTTCTGTCTGGAAGCATCTCTCTCCAGCGGCTGGCTGTTCTCAGGAGTCCAGCTCCAGCTGCTCTTGGTTTTCACTGAGTCTCAACATAAGTTGCTGTTCATAGTAAAGGCTCTTTGCATAGTTTATTTCTTGTGATAACTTGACAGCAAGGACCTCAGATTTCACATGGACCTACGGAGGAGACAAGAAGAAACAACTGAGCTTCCCTGAGGTGGAGAGCAGGACACAGCCCGAGGACTCGGCACAGGCAGAGGGTGCGGCATGGGCATAAGATGTGGCGTTGCAGTGCAAAGCCACCAGAAGCAGTTCCTCTCAGAGTGGTGTGGACAACTTCCAAGAACGGATTTCCAGGGACCTCTGCCTAGTCCACCCTGATTCAGATTTTGATTTACTCCTCAGTGGCTGTGGCCAGCCCATCACCACCAGCATTTGGGACTGAAACTGATGTGACTGCACTCAGAGGGAGGCAGTTACAATGGACTGGACTCCCTGCTCCAGCCCAAAGCCTGGTGGTGGCCAAGGCAGGTAGTCAGCAAGCAGAGCAAGCCGGCAGCCCTTCCCACCCGGACTACTTCACTGCTAGCCTGCCTTGAAAGAGGGAGACAAGGCCAGGTGAGGCTCAGTTGGTGGAAAACGCAAACTTTGGGGAGGCAATTTGCCATCAACCAGCCCTATGTAAGCCAATAACCCCAAGGGAGCCTCACAGACTCAAACCCACTCCAGTTCGTTCCTGGGAGAATGGGGAAGGTCGAAGGGCCTGAGGCCAGGTCCAGCAAGGCTGGCTGCTTCTCTACAGAAGGAGCAGAGCCAACAGTCACTGGTGGAGGCGGTCTTGGTGAATGCAGGCTGAGACACAACAGCTCCGCCATGCTGTGTGGAGGCGGAGATGGGTGGTCTGCGTCCTCACATCTGCTCTGCTGTACCTGCAGCCTCTGCACCGGCCTAGCGCTATGACCACAGCAGCTCTGTGGTCTAGACACCAGCTTGGGAGTTGGACCTCCTGAGTCTGAGCCCAGCTTGTGCCAGAGTCAGCTATGTGCCCTGAAGGAACCATCTGCCCTCGCTCCTCAACTCTTCAACAGCGCCGAGGGCAGGGGCAGCACGACAGCACGCACAGCGTGTGGCTGTGAAGCGACAGAGCTGCACTGCTCAGACGTCCCTCCTTGAACACCTCCCCCTTTAGGTGCAAAGCATGATTTATATTTACAAATATCTGCTGGGCATGCTGCGTAGTCTCTGCACGGATCAAAAAGTTACAGTTTCCTCTGTTACAGAGAAACAAAACCGTGTGCTTCACCTCCTCCAAGATGTCATGCATCCTTAGTCACTGAGTGCTGCATTTCAGGGACACACAGCTCCATGAACAGGCTACCCGCTTGTGATGGGTTAACTGAGGCACAGTGCTACGTGCACGGGCTTCCAGCAGAGCTGGAGCACATCACCTGGTGGAGTCTCTGTGGGAGAGCAGAAGGCAGGGCAGGGGGCCACCCGGGCTGCCGCCCTCAACATGAGCACAGCCACGTGGTGGCAAGGAGCAGCGGGACTCACCATTGGCTTCTGGTGGGACGGGCCTGGGATGGACACGCCACTGCTGGAGTTGGCAGCCCTCTTGGTCACCTGCACATAGACCTTCCCGTGGTCTTTGGAAACAAGACAGTGGTAGAGATCATCATATTTGACCTCAAGGAAAATGGCCTCTCGGTCTACATAGTCCCCACTCTTCAGGAAGTACACAGCTTTGGAGGAGATGAGCACACAGTAGCTGTCGATGTTCTCCACGGCAATGAAGCTGCAAGGGGAGAGGAGAATGAGGTGATGCTGGGCTTCTCTTCCAAGTCGGAGTCAGGCTGCCCCTTGCTGGTGGTGGCCTGCTGAGGTCTGTGGGGTCTGAGGCCTAAGCTTACCTAGGCTTCCCATTTCCCACAGAGAGAGAGAGAGAGAGAGAGAGAGAGAGAGAGAGAGAGAGAGCGGGGGGCTCTACACTTGTTTTTTTTTTACTACAAAGACACAGACTTTGCCCTGCACATGCACACACATGTGCACTTATCACCTCCCTGTGCACACACACACAAGGTGAGAGAGAGAGAGAGAGAGAGAGAGAGAGAGAGAGAGAGAGAGAGAGAGGCGCTCTAGGCCTATTTCTTCATTTGCAAGTTTGGGATTGGAAGGGCCCTGGCCTCCGGGGCAGCTGTGGGGCCTGCATTCACAAGGTGCTCGAGAACAGTGGTAAATGATATTGGTCAGCCATAACAGAAACAGCTTCCTACCTGAAGTAGGGTTTTGTGGGATGTATTTCTGGTGAGCTTTTAGATAGCTTAGGACTTAGAGAAAACTCTAATAACACATTGTTAGACAGAAGGACAAGTAGAGCTTTTCAACATTACATCAACAGACCAGCCAGTGTTCAGGAGGCCACATTAGTTCACCAGGAGACAGCTGGGTGAGCAATACTGACGGGAAGCAGCACAAGCAGACAGGTTTCTCACACTGCACACTGCAAGGATGACAGGGCACACTGCACGCCTCAGTGCTTGTACACCTGCATTTATGTCTCTCCAGTAACAGCTCTGAGGGGTCACCTTGCTCCTGTTCAGTACAACCAGGGACATGGGACTCTAGCACCGCTCCGTGTTCCGCAAACTCGCAGCTGGCCAGCGCGTCCCTGGGTCAATTTGTAGGCTTCATTTACAGATTTGTCGTCATTTATTGTAGAGCTTTAAGGCCAACGAGAAACAAGCCAACTTTGAAAAGTAACAGTACAAGGGCCAAACCCCTGTTGAGCAGTGCTCACAGACTGATTGGAATGCATTCAGGTCACACCTCTTGCCTAGCTGCTGCGTGAGTGGTCATCAGGAATCAGCAGGGACAGCTCTCCCAGCCTGGCGGCTGCCGGCATCACATACTACCCTGCCACAGTGTGCCCTGGCATCCAGGACAGCGAGAGAGAACTTTGGAGGCAGCAAGCATTTTAAGAGCTGCCTGACAAACAGCTGGCTGTGGACTCCAGGTCTCAAACTTTACTTGGCTCAGAGCCAAGGCTCCACTTGGTGTTTCTGTGGACCTGGGTCCAGGGTGGCAGAGGATCCTGTAGGAGAGGGCTTGCCTGCTGATGGCCAGTCTTTCCCGCCAGATTGGACCTCACTCTCCTGTGCTGAGAGAGCTCTTAGATCATGGCTCACTCTCAGTCTTAGCACTCTCCCCACCTGTGCCAGAGCTCCCGCTCTGGAAGGCTCACTAGTACTTTCCCCACTGCTGAGCAGAAGATCTGCTGTGCTCTTGGCTAAGCACCTTGGCTTTCAGTGAAGCTCTGAGCCCCATAAAATGTGGGGTCCACACTGTATACCCACACAGCTTCCTGAGTACCCACCACCAAGTTGGCCACCTGTAAGAATTCGCAAAGTATCCACCTTGCTTGCGTCGTCATTTGAATTATGGCTCCTGTGACAAAAACTGGGGTTCGCTGTTCTCGTCTAACTGGTTGGCAATGCTGAGAATGCAGACTTCTAAAGTCTCACTGCCAAAATTAGAAGGGCCCAGGCAGCTCAACACAGCCTCCTCCTGTCCTACATTCTGAGAGTCAGGGCAGCATCATCTCGAGTGAAGAGGAGTTTAAAATAGCTGGTCCAGGGGAGCATGGAAGGATGTGAAGAGGCAAAGGAAAGACAGGGGACAGTGTCTGGTGGGAGGGGGGCAGGGGTACGGGACACACACAATCACACACCGGGGAGACAGTGTCTGGTGGGAGGGGGGCAGGGGTACGGGACACACACAATCACACACCGGGGAGACAGTGTCTGGTGGGAGGGGGGCAGGGGTACGGGACACACACAATCACACACCGGGGAGACAGTGTCTGGTGGGAGGGGGGCAGGGGTACGGGACACACACAATCACACACCGGGGAGACAGTGTCTGGTGGGAGGGGGGCAGGGGTACGGGACACACACAATCACACACCGGGGAGACAGTGTCTGGTGGGAGGGGGGCAGGGGTACGGGACACACACAATCACACACCGGGGAGACAGTGTCTGGTGGGAGGGGGGCGGGGGCCAGGTTCGGGTGGGTGGGGGGCAGGGGTACGGGACACACACAATCACACACCGGGGAGAAAGTGTCTGGTGGGATGGGGGGCAGGGGTACGGGACACACACAATCACACACCGGCTGGAGCTTGATGGGAAGCGCTGAGCACACAGAAGTGGCTTTGCTTCTGAGTGCTGGTGGGCCAGGTGCATGGCCACCAAAGCCATCATGAGCTCTCAAAGGAGACTCCAAAGGTGGCCAACAGACAGGGCGACAGCAGGTATGCACACTATAGGCTGCAGCTGAGACTGGCTATCTAGCTTCTCAGCTCTCTCTCCCTCACCAGGGCCCCTCAGCAGCTGTCACACCCAGGGAGCTGTCCTTACATCCTGTCTAGAGGGGCTGATGGTGAGTGCATCTTCCCAAAGGGAAAACAGTTCTATAGGCTTTAAGGCAGATTCCCTTCCTGGGGGCCAGGAAACTTCAGGAGGAATGGCAATTCTGAGCCAGGAGGCAGTCCTGAAAGGCAGGGGACATGGTGATGGAAATCTGGGCTAGGCAGGCAAGGAGGTCGCACAAGCAGGGGACTCTGGTCAGGTCGCTTGCTTTCCTAGTGGCTAAGTTCTTTCATCTCTAAGGGAGCCAATGCCAATGACCAGCTCCTTCAGTTAGCGACGAGGGGAACCCTGGCAGAACAGGAACAGCACAGCAACATTAACTCTGCCCAGATCTCCACTCTCAGGCCCGGGCTAAGCTCATATTTTGGACAATTGCATTCAGTGTTCTAAAATTTTCAAATCAAAAGCAGATCAGAACCAAGGGTATAACCGAGGGAAGAAAGAGCTGGGAGATGACCCTGGGACTGGGTGGCTGAGGGCCAGCCCCATCTTCCCTGAGGCTTCCCTCACAACCCATTATCCAAGGCCAGGGTTTTGGGTCCCAGCAGCACCACTGTTGTTATTAAGCTTGATGTTTTTACAAAGTCTGGAAACAACATCAAAGACTCAAATAGCTCCAGAGCAAACCCCTTATCTGCTGACACTGCTTCCAAACTTGTCACTGACTCTGAGAGGAGTCACAGCTTGGGAGGCAAGGTGGAGCCTTGTGTCTTTCCTCTGCTGACCCACTCCTTCCTGTTCCCCTTTTGCCCACCGCCCTGTGGCCTCCCACCTGCAGGACAGCTCTCTGTGGTGTGTACATGCTCTGCTCCTTACCATACCAACAGAGCAGCAGTGGCTACTGCTGGAAACTGCTTTAGTGCCCTGACTTGGGCTTCAGCCACTCTTCACTGCTGCTGGCCCACCAGTGAGTGGCCACTGGAAAGCCAGCATGGCCTTGGGTGGGTCCTGAGGACACTTCTTCTGTTCTATGATCTGTTAACTCAGGGGGCAAGAGGGAGGATGACAAAGAAACACAAGCGCCTGGGCAAGTTCTCTTTCCAATGTGAGGATGGAGAGACCCAATCCACAAAGTTACCTACCCACTGGCACCACAACATGTGGCTCAGACCTGTAGGAGAATGGCAACCCTGTGCTTCAGGTGATGGTAACAAATACAGTCTGCTTGCCCTGCTAGCCTGTGGACTCGCCGAGGACATCACAGAGTTCTTACTTGGCCTGCCACACGGGGGACTTAACGTATGCGTCAAGGATCTCAGAAGATGACAGTGAAACCAGGCTACAAGATCCATAAGGATGTGCCAGTGCAAATGCAACTCTGGGCGTTGCAGCTCAGCGCTTCTCCCAGAACCTTTAGCTTACTAGATTTAGCAAGCCATTGACTTTTATCTGAGTAGCTGGGCAGTCTGCCAAACACAAGTCTTCAGGTGTCAAAAGTTACTGACGGATGATTTCCTGGCTTAGAAAAATGGAAGCTGGAGCTGGGGGTACGGCTCAGCGAGGGTGCAAGCCTAGCATGTAGAAGGGGCTGGGAGAGTCCCAGGAAAGGAAAGGAACAGAGGAGGAAGGAAGGAGAGGGAAGGAAATGTGTTGTGTGTTACTGGAGGGTTTAGATTATATGCTATTAGAATTAGTATCATGGCTTGTACAAAAAATTTCCTTCTTTCAGTAATTCCTGGAGAACAGATAAGAGGGATAAAATGAAAGATTCTCCACTGTTTGCCTTATTATTTATTTTATGAATTCTTTTTGATTTGGCTAACTCATTTTGTAAATGAGTTGATTTCATTAAAAAGAGAAAGGTGGCTGGGCATGGCGGCGCACACCTTAACCCTGGCCCCAGGCAGGCAGAGGCAGGCAGACTTCTGTGAGTTTCAGGTCATCCTAGTCTGCATAGCAAATTCCAGGACAGCCAGGGCTATACAGTGAGACACTCAAACAGCAAACAAGCAAAGAGACAAAAACCCACCCCTCCCAAACAGAATAAGAGAGTGAGGCGGCATTTTTAGCAGCTATTTTGAGTGGACGCCTCTTCTTCAAAATTTCAGCACTGCCTCAGGAGACAAAAGCCTAAGCATGACCACGTAAGGCCAGTTACAAATCTAGACGACCAGTCTGAGGTCTGCAAGCCATTCTTCTTTTCTTCTTTATACACGTTTCTGTGTTTAAAAGCCTCCCAAATGTTACTTTCTGCCTAACTGATAAACAGCCCAAGGAGCGAGCACGCCCTGGAGGAAAGCAGCTTCCTGGGAGAGCAGGCCTCTCCAGTGTCCCTTGGAAAAGGTAAGAAGCCCTGTGCCTGCACTCTAAGGACATGCTCTGAAGAAATACTACGAACAAGCAAGCACTTAAGAAAAGGTGACTGTTGGCCACAAACCAGGCATTACTTAGACAGCAAAATTAAATTGATCACACAGAATAAATGTTATCTTAGCATCACCGTAATTCGGATTCTGGGTTGGGACAGCGAAAAACAGGAAACGATGGGGTTACGCAATGGGCTGAGGAACAGCTGAGGACCCTGAAAACGAAGAGCCCGCAGCCGAGAAGACCTCGCATCCACGTCACAGACTGTCAGCTTAATGCTGATTAATTAAACCACGTGAAAAACAAAAAAACTAATGCAACTTGATGTGGGAGATCAAAGTTGAAGCTGCTACGGTGCTGGGGGCTTTGTGGGGTTTTCGCTCCATCAGGAAGTAATTACGCAGTATTTTCCAGAAGTGAAACAGTGAGTCTAACTGGAAAAAAATGTGGAAACGTTTAGTTAGAACAGTAGAGCAAGGTATTAAAGACCCTTTCAATGGGTTAACTCTGAGGGGAAATATGCAAATAATTAGGTCCCTAAACATGTTTTTAATTACAAACCTAGGATAAAAGTCAGAGGCAGAAGTCAGCGCCCATGTTTTTTCCTGAGAACCCCTTCCTACAGATGACTGGAACGTTCACATCCCTGTGAAGACAGGCTGACGACTGAGGATGCTTCGAGTCATGTCTGCCAGAGGCCCTGGTGACCTCTTCCTGTACACCCAGGAAGACTGCAGTCACGGGCCTCCCTTACCATCCACTGGCCAGAGTCAATCATCAGTTTGGGTGGAGACACATGGTTTTCATCTTTAAAGTCAAAATCCATTCATGCCAATAACTATTCCCAGTTCACATGACTTTCACGAGTTTCATGAAATCTGTTTCACCAATGCCATCCTGGTTCCAGTGCTCAGCTCCCCTGGCTGTGTCCAGTGCATGCACGGCGTGGGCAGCCGTCCTAGGTGCTGCACTATACCATCTCCCTGGTGATTTGTGTCATGTTACTCTACTGCAAATGAATCTTGGATAGTTTGAGTAGAATGGAGGGGGAAGTGGGTCAGGGGTGAAATTAAAACACAAAATACAACGACCTAATCCTGGTTCCAGTGCTCAGCTCCCCTGGCTGTGTCCAGTGCATGCACGGCGTGGGCAGCCGTCCTAGGTGCTGCACTATACCATCTCCCTGGTGATTTGTGTCATGTTACTCTACTGCAAATGAATCTTGGATAGTTTGAGTAGAATGGAGGGGGAAGTGGGTCAGGGGTGAAATTAAAACACAAAATACAACGACCTATAATCTTACTTAACCCTTAAAAAA